ACGTGTAATCGGACGGGCCGTCACCTGGCCACGTTCACCCGTCGGTCTAGGTCGAGTCTGTACACACTGACTACTGAGCCTCCCCAGGTAGCTGCGTCTGCGTCCACGTCAGGTCAGCTAGTGTCGCGCCCTGTCGCACCAGACGCTCCCTTGGCACCACCGCCTTGGTCACCCCTTCGTGCCACGCCTCCGTGGCATGCACTCCCGTCTCCTTGTCTCTGGTCTTCCCAGGTCTCTGCCTCCCCTCCCACCCTCGCATGCCCCTCCCTGCCTTCCCTGTGTCGAGGGGCGGCAGCGCGCCGCTCCTCAGTCCTCCTCGTTTCCCCCGACGACTGCTCCCCTGCAGACTCTCCACATGGACGTGTGGGGCCCAGCCCGCGTCCGTGGACAGGGCCGCGAGCGCTACTTTCTGCTGGTTGTTGACGACTACTCGCGTTACACCACGGTCTTCCCCTTGCGCAGCAAGGGGGAGGTCCCTGATGTTTTGATCCCTTGGATCCGCGCTGTCCGTCTCCAGCTCCGTGAGCGGTTCCACGCGGACCTTACAGTCCTGCGTCTGCACTCTGACAGAGGTGGTGAGTTTTCCTCCGACCTCTTGCGGGACTTTTGTCGTGGGGAGGGCATTCACCAGTCGTTCACGCTTCCGGCCTCTCCGCAGTAGAATGGGGTTGCTGAGCGCCACATTGGCTTAGTCATGGAGGTCGCTCGTACCTCCATGATCCATGCGGCTGCCCCCCATTTTCTATGGCCGTTTGCGTTCCGGTACGCTGCGCATCAGCTCAACCTCTGGCCCCGTGTCTCCTTGCCGGAGACCTCGCCTACACTGCGTTGGACGGGGAAGGTTGGCGATGCGTCGGTGTTCCGGGTCTGGGGCTCTCGTGCCTTTGTCCGCAGACAAGCTCTCCTCCCGTGCCATTCCCTGCATCTTCCTTGGCTTTCCCCCTGACGCGCCTGGCTGGCAGTTTTACCACCCCACCTCGCGCCGTGTCCTGCCCTCTCAGGACGTCACGTTTGACGAGTCGGTTCCCTTTTACCGTCTCTTCCCCTACCGCACTGCCCTCTCCCTCCCCCACCGCTCTTCCTCGCACCAGGTCCTCCTCCGGTAGACCCCCTCCCCCCTCAGGGTCCTGCTCCCTCAGGTGTGTCTCAGGTAGACCCTGTCGAGCCTGTCGAGGTCGCTGTCGACTGTGGTGTTGCTGGGGGTGGTGGTGCTAGGGGTGTTGCGTCTGGGGGTGCTGAGCCTGAGCGTGCGGAGCCTGGGGGTGCTGAGCCTGAGCGTGCGGAGCCTGGGGGTGCTGAGCTTGAGGGTGCTGAGCCTGAGCGTGCTGAGACTGGAGGTACTTTGTCTGCTGGAGGTCCTCTGGGTGCCTCGTCACGGCGGGAGCCTCTCTCTCCACCGCAGCTGCGCGAGTGGTTTGCTCGGCGCTGGAGCCTTTGGAGTGGCGCTGCTGGAGCTGGGGGGCCTGCCGCTGGAGGCCATGGAGCAGGAGGCACTAGAGCTGCTGGTCCTGGAGGTGCTGGAGGTGCTGGAGCTACTGGTCCCGGAGGTGCTCGTACTGGAGGTACTGGAGCTGCTGGAGCTGGAGGTGCTGCAGGAGTTGGAGCTGGAGCTGCTGGAGGTACTGGAGCTGCTGGTCCCGGAGGTGCTCGTACTGGAGGTACTGGAGCTGCTGGAGCTGGTGGTGCTGCAGGCGTTGGAGCTGGAGGCGTTGGAGCTGGAGGTAGCGGAGGTGCTGGAGCTGCTGGTCGTGGAGGTGCAGGAGGTGCTGGAGCTACTGGTCCCGGAGGTGCTCGTACTGGAGGTACTGGAGCTGCTGGAGCTGGAGGTGCTGCAGGAGTTGGAGCTAGAGCTGCTGGAGGTACTGGAGCCGCTGGTCCCAGAGGTGCTCGTTTTGGAGGTACTCGAGCTGCTGGAGCTGGTGGTGCTGCAGGCATTGGAGCTAGAGACCCCGGAGATGAAGGTGCTGGCCCTGGGGGTGCTGGTTCTGGAGGCACTGTTCGGCCGCGACCGTACTTCGTTCCACTGCTTCAGCAAGTTCTTGGTCTCCCGTCTTCTACTGGCCTTACTCCTCCCTTACTGTGTCCACCACCTGACCAGTCGCAGCCACAGTTCCAGCCAGACTCCCCACTGCCTGCTCCTTCTCCTTACACTGAGACGACCGGAGGTCTTACAGAGCGTCATGAGCCTGCGTCTCGTCCTGCCTTGCCTGTTCGCGCTGTTCGCAGTGGTCGTCGTGTCCCGCGTCAGCGTCCTCCTCCTGTCCCCGGCACGCACCATATGGCACTTCGTCTTTCCTCTGTTCCACAGCGTGTCCCTCTGCCGTCTCCTCCTGCGTCCTCTCTTCCTGACGTTCCTGACCCTGCGTCCGACCTTGCTCGTGCTGCCAGTCCTACTGTCACACGTCTTCTAGCCACTGTTGTCACTGACCCTTCGTTTGAGTCCACTGCTGCGCCTGCCCTAGTTGCTGAGCTTGTTGAATTTCCTGCCGCCTGTCGTCTCGACTACGCCGCTAGTCTTGTTGCTGAGTCCGAGTCTGACTGTCCTCCGTCCGTCGGGGGTGAGTGTACTCTTGGCACGGACGTCCTTGAGGACAGGCAGGAGGACTTTGAGTGTTTTGCAGCTGCTGTACCTCATCTCGTGTCCATGCTGATTGCACCTGAGGGAGAACCGGATGCACCAGACATCCCGACCCCGCGCTCTTACGCAGAGGCGATTACGGGTCCCTACTCCTCTCGGTGGCAGATTGCCATGGACGCAGAGATGGCATCCTGGAAGTCCACAGGCACCTACGTCGACGAGGTTCCCCCGCCTGGGGCGAACATAGTCGATGGCATGTGGATTTTCAGGGTGAAGCAGCCGTCGGGTTCTCCGCCTGTCTTCAAGGCGCGTTACGTTGCACGAGGCTTCTGTTAGCGACAGGGAGTTGACTTCTTCCAGACCTTCTCCCCTACCTCGAAGATGACCACTCTTCGGGTGTTGCTGCACGTCGCCGCTCAGCGTGACTACGAGCTTCACTCTCTTGACTTCAGCACAGCTTTCTTACAGGGCAGCCTGCACGAGGAGATCTGGCTGCGCCGCCCACCAGGCTTCACTAAGTCGTTTCCTGTAGGTACCCAGTGCAGCCTCCGGCGGCCAGTCTACAGTCTCCGCCAGGCGCCTCGCGAGTGGCACGACACACTGAGGACGACGCTTGCGGCTCTTGGGTTTGCTCCTTCGACTGCTGACCCGTCGCTGTTTCTACGCACCGACACTTCGTTGCCGCCATTCTACATCCTCGTGTACGTCGACGACTTGGACTTTGCCACTGCTGACACAGAGGGACTGGCCCTAGTGAAGTCGGAGCTGCAGAAGAGACACACGTGCACAGACTTGGGTAAGCTGCGCACCATTACCTTGACTCAGTCACACATGGTGCAGCAGGTCCTTCAGCGCTTCTGCTTCACGTACTCCTCGCCACAGTCCACTCCTCTGCCTACCGGTCACTCGCTCTCAGCTCCACCTTTGGACGAGTCCGTAGAGCCGAGTGGCCCGTATCCAGAGCTTGTGGGCTGCCTCATGTACCTGATGACCTGCACTCGACCTGACCTTGCCTACCCTCTTAGCATCCTGGCACCCTACGTTGCGCCCGGGAGACACCGACCAGAGCACTGGGAGGCCGCTAAGAGGGTGTTGCTCTACTTGTGCAGTACGTCGGGCATGGGGCTCGTGCTTGGAGGACGGGGTCGAGTTGTCTTCACTGGACACGCTGACGCCTCTTGGGTTGATGACTTGGCTACGCAGCGGTCGTCACAGGGTTACACTTTCAGCCTTCGCTCCGGCTCTGTTTCTTGGCGGTCTATCCGCTCGTCTTCTGTTCTCAGTTCCAGTTGTGAGGCTGAGATCTACGCAGGGGCCATGGCTGCACAGGAGTTATGCTGGCTTACCTACCTTCTGACTGACTTGGGAGAGCCGCCTCGTTCTCCTCCAGTTCTGTACGTCGACAACAAGGCCATGATTGCCTTGTGTCAGGAGCACAGGCTGGAGCACAGGACGAAGCACATCGCTCTGCGTTACTTCGTTGCACGAGAGTTGCAGCAGCTTGGTCAACTTCGTCTTGCTTACGTGGCCTCTCGGGCCAACATTGCTGATATATTCACCAAGGCACTTCAGCCTTGTGATCATCAGCGTTTCTGTACTGTCTTAGGCCTTGTGCCTACTTGGTCTCACTTGCTCACTTCTTGACTTTGCTTGTACTGTGATTTATATACTTATACCTGCATGCTTGCACTTGCTAGGTTGTGATCACTGTACTGCTTGCTCTCCATTATATAACTCTGCATGTGAACTGACCTTGTGGCCATTTGCTTGTGCTCAGAGTGTGTGGTGACTTCATGATCCACCCTGAGCTTGCTTTGCTTTTCTTGACCAGTCTTGTGACCGCTTGTTGTCCCCCACTTTGCCTATGGGGGTGTGTCAAACTATCATGTTGTGTAGGCTGTAGTGGGGTAGCCCATATAGGGTACAACCCAATTAGGGTTTGCTACTTGTACTCCTGCATGCTGTTAGTTCACACATTCTCTTCATTCTTCTGACACTGTTCCCCTCTCTCAGTCTTCACGAACATTCTGAACAACACGCTCATCCACGTTCTTGTTGACGCGGACGCCCAAGAGGCAGTGGTGCAAGTGCAGGTGAGAGAGAGGAAGAGTGGCGCAAGTGCAAGTGAGGAGAAGAGAGGTTGATAGGCGTTTGATTCGACACAGAAAGCAACACGCTCATACACGTTCTTGCTGACGCAGACGCCCAAGAGGCAGTGGTGCAAGTACAGGTGAGAGGGCAGAGCAGGTGAGAGCTATGCTGATGTTACTTTTGAGAATTCTCAAAAAATAACATCAACAGTGGTGCAAGTGCAGGTGAGTGGCACAGCAGGTGAGAGCAGAATGGTTGCAAGAGCAGTGCACGTGAGGAGAAGAGGGGTGGATACGTTACGTGAATAGGAGGCAGAGTGCACTTTCAGTAAATGCCAAACACACTCAGACCCAAACGGCAGTGGTGCATGCAAGTGCAGGTGAGGGACAGAATTGTTCCAAGGGCAGGGCGAGGTGCCGTGGGTAGGTTTCGAATAGAGAGGTGCAAGTGCAGATGAGAGGCAGAGGGGTTGATAGAACAGGTGGCTTCCCTGACCTCCCTTCCCCTCCCCTCCCCTTCTGCCTCCCTCCCCCTCCCTTCCCCCTCTGCCTCCCTCCCCCTCCCCTCCCCTTTTTCCTCCCTCCCCCTCCCTTCCCCCTCTGCCGCCCTCCCCCTCCCTTCCCCCTCTGCCTCCCTTCCCGTCCCTTCCCCCTCTGCCTCCCTCCCCCTCCCTTCCCCCTCTGCCTCCCTCCCCCTCCCTTCCCCCTCTGCCTCCCTTCCCATCCCTTCCCCCTCTGCCTCCCTTCCCCTCCCTCCCTCCTCTGCCTCCATCCCCCTCCCTTCCCCCTCTGCCTCCCTCCCCCTCCCTTCCCCCTCTGCCTCCCTCCCCCTCCCTTCCCCCTCTGCCTCCCTCCCCCTCCCTCCCCCCTCTGCCTCCCTCCCCCTCCCTTCCCCCTCTGCCTCCCTTCCCCTCCCTTCCCCCTCTGCCTCCCTTCCCGTCCCTTCCCCATCTGCCTCCCTTCCCCTCCCTTCCCCCTCTGCCTCCCTCCCCCTCCATTCCCCCTCTGCCTCCCTCCCCCTCCCTTCCCCATCTGCCTCCCTCCCCCTCCCTTCCCCCTCTTCCTCCCTCCCCCTCCCTTCCCCCTCTGTCTCCCTCCCCCTCCCTTCCCCCTCTGCCTCCCTTCCCGTCCCTTCCCCCTCTGCCTCCCTCCCCCTCCCTTCCCCCTCTGCCTCCCTTCCCCCTCTGCTTCCCTCCCCCTCCCTTCCCCCTCTGCCTCCCTCCCCCTCCCTTCCCCCTCTGCCTCCCTCCCCCTCCCTTCCCCCTCTGCCTCCCTTCCCCCTCTGCCTCCCTCCCCCTCCATTCCCCCTCTGCCTCCCTCCCCCTCCCTTCCCCATCTGCCTCCCTCCCCCTCCCTTCCCCCTCTTCCTCCCTCCCCCTCCCTTCCCCCTCTGTCTCCCTCCCCCTCCCTTCCCCCTCTGCCTCCCTTCCCGTCCCTTCCCCCTCTGCCTCACTCCCCCTCCCTTCCCCCTCTGCCTCCCTCCCCCTCCCTTCCCCCTCTGCCTCCCTCCCCCTCCCTTCCCCCTCTGCCTCCCTTCCCGTCCCTTCCCCCTCTGCCTCCCTCCCCCTCCCTTCCCCCTCTGCCTCCCTCCCCCTCCCCTCCCCTTCTGCCGCCCTCCCCCTCCCTTCCCCCTCTACCTCCCTCCCCCTCCCTTCCCCCTCTGCCTCCCTCCCCCTCCCTTCCCCCTCTGCCTCCCTCCCCCTCCCTCCCCCTCTGCCTCCCTCCCCCGCCCTTCCCCCTCTGCCTCCCTCCCCCTCCCTTCCCCCTCTGCCTCCCTCCCCCTCCCTTCCCCCTCTGCCTCCCTTCCCGTCCTTTCCCCCTCTGCCTCCCTCCCCCTCCCTTCCCCCTCTGCCTCCCTTCCCGTCCCTTCCCCCTCTGCCTCACTCCCCCTCCCTTCCCCCTCTGCCTCCCTCCCCCTCCCTTCCCCCTATGCCTCCCTCCCCCTCCCTTCCCCCTCTGCCTCCCTTCCCGTCCCTTCCCCCTCTGCCTCCCTCCCCCTCCCTTCCCCCTCTGCCTCCCTCCCCCTCCCCTCCCCTTCTGCCGCCCTCCCCCTCCCTTCCCCCTCTACCTCCCTCCCCCTCCCTTCCCCCTCTGCCTCCCTCCCCCTCCCTTCCCCCTCTGCCTCCCTCCCCCTCCCTCCCCCTCTGCCTCCCTCCCCCTCCCTTCCCCCTCTGCCTCCCTCCCCCTCCCTTCCCCCTCTGCCTCCCTCCCCCTCCCTTCCCCCTCTGCCTCCCTCCCCCTCCCTTCCCCCTCTGCCTCCCTCCCCCTCCCTTCCCCCTCTGCCTCCCTCCCCCTCCCTTCCCCCTCTGCCTCCCTCCCCCTCCCTTCCCCCTCTGCCTCCCTCCCCCCCCCCTTCCCCCTCTGCCTCCCTCCCCCTCCCTTCCCCCTCTGCCTCCCTCCCCCTCCCTTCCCCCTCTGCCTCCCTCCCCCTCCCTTCCCCCTCTGCCTCCCTTCCCCTCCCTTCCCCCTCTGCCTCCCCCTTCCTCCCATCCCCCTTCTCCCCCTCGCTCCCCCGCTCTGCAGGAGTACTATTTGGATTTCTTCGCTATGGACGCGTATCACTTCACCCTGCACGTGCCTCTCAACGTCTACTCCTTCGTCTCCCATTCCCCCTTTCCTCCTGTCTTCCTTCTCCCTGTCCCCCCCTCCCTCCCCCCCCCTCTCTCTCAGGAGTACTATTTGGATTTCTTCGCACTGGACGCGTATCACTTCACCCTGCACGTGCCACTCAACGTCTACTCCTTCGTCTCCGCCACTGTCGACCTGCACAACACGCAGAGAGTGGCTGAACGCTCAGTAGACGCCCTCCTAGCCCTCTGCCTGAGCTTGAGGAAGCGCCCGTCTATCCGCTTCCAGAGGGGATCAGAGTTAGCAAGACGTGTGGCACATGAAACAGGGGTGAGTAGGGAGGGGGGAAGGAAGGGAAGTGCGTGGGGAAGAGGAAAGGCGTGTCGACCTGCACAACACGCAGAGGGTAGCAGAACGATCAGTAGACGCCCTCCTAGCCCTCTGCCTGAGCCTCAAGAAACGCCCTTCGATACGGTTTCAGCGGGGGTCAGAACTGGCGAGAAGGGTGGCGCACGAAACAGGGGTGAGTGGGCATGTGAGTGAAAGAAGGGTTGCTGTAATTCTCGCTTCCCCCCTCGTTATCTGCCCTTACTCCTCTCCCTGCATCCCCCCTCCCCACGTCTGCCCCCCCAGCGCATCATGTACGAGGCAGAGAAGCCCCTGTTCGACTTGAGGCACACGGACGCCCTGCCGCTGCTGCTCCTCGCTGCTTATTACTGTCATATTCACTTTCCCCTCTACTTCCCTCCTTTCCCTCTCCCTTCACCCCCCAGCGCATCATGTACGAAGCAGAGAAGCCCCTCTTTGACTTCAGACGCACGGACGCCCTGCCGCTGCTGCTGGTGGTGGACAGGCGGGACGACCCGGTTTCCCCGTTACTCACCCAGTGGACGTACCAGGTATGCCTGGGATCATAGCAAGGCCACAACTTGGTTATAGATTTACTCGCCTGACAGACGGGATATTTCAATCACGCACATACAGATGCCCTGCCGCTACTGCTGGTGGTGGATAGGAGGGACAACCCGGTTTCCCCGTTACTCACCCAGTGGACCTACCAGGTATGCTTGGCGTGTGTTAATAACGTGTCATAATGCTTAGCCTTTTATATTGACTGACTTGAATTATTGACAATCGGAACGACCCGGATACCCACCTCCCACATCCGTCCGCCTTCGCCCCTGCCCCAGGCCATGGTGCATGAGGTGATAGGCATTGAGAGCAACAAGGGGGATCTGAGTCATGTGGCCAACGTGAGGTCCCAGGGGTCCTCACTCGTGGAGAAGAGCACAAGTTTTCCCCTCATCTCATCGCCCACTCTCCCCTTGCCCGCCCCTCCCTGCCCTCCCCAGGCCATGGTGCACGAGCTGATAGGCATAGAGATCAACAAGGTGGATTTGAGCCACGTGGCGAACGTGAGCCCTGATCAGAGGGAGGTGGTGCTGGCAGCGGGGGAGGACGAGTTTTTCAAGCGCCACATGTACGACAACTTTGGCGATGTTGGGAGCGCCGTGGCCAAACTGGTTTCCGACTTGCAGAGCAAAGACAGGCGCAACAAGGGCATTCAAACACTAGGTGGGCTTGATGGGACACACATTCAGAGCCTGGGTGAGTGTCCGGCAGAGGGTGCCAATCAGAGGGTGCGGCCCAGAGGGAGGTGGTGCTGGCAGCGGGGGAGGACGAGTTCTTCAAGCGCCACATGTACGACAACTTTGGGGACGTTGGGAGCGCCGCGGCATAACTCGTCTCCGATCTGCAGAGCAAGGACAGGCGGAACAAAGGGATTCAAACGCTCAGTGAGTGCAGATCAGAGGGTGCAGATCAGAGGGTGCGGATCAGAGGGTGCGGATCAGAGGGTGCGGATCGGAGGGTGCGGATGAGAGGGAGGTGGTGGTGGCAGCGGGGGAGGACGAGTTCTTCAAGCGCCACATGTACGACAACTTTGGGGACGTGGGGAGCGCCGTGGCGAAACTCGTCTCGGACCTACAGAGCAAGGACGGGCGCAACAAGGGGATTCAAACATTAGGTGGGTTGATTCGCCATACATTCAGAGCCTGGGTGGGTGCAGATCAGAGGGTGCGGATCAGATGGTGCAGATCAGAGGGTGCGGATCAGAGGGTGCAGATCAGAGGGTGCGGATCAGAGGGTGCGGATCGGAGGGTGCGGATGAGAGGGAGGTGGTGGTGGCAGCGGGGGAGGACGAGTTCTTCAAGCGCCACATGTACGACAACTTTGGGGACGTGGGGAGCGCCGTGGCGAAACTCGTCTCCGATCTGCAGAGCAAGGATAAACGGAACAAGGGCATTCAAACACTAGGTGCGTCACCCACTGCGGGTGGGTGTTGCAAGCATTCAGGGCGCCACATGTATGACAACTTTGGGGACGTTGGGAGTGCCGTGGCGAAGCTGGTGTCTGATCTGCAGAGCAAGGACAGGCGGAACAAAGGGCATCCAGACATTAGGTGGGTGTGCTTTGAGGATATTTTAATACTTCTTAACCTCTAGGCATCTTTGGGGACGTGGGCAGTGCGTAGGCCAAGCTGGTGTCTGATTTGCAGAGCAAGGACCGACACAACAAAGGCATTCAGACGCTGGGTGGGTAGGAGACACGTGTAGACAATTCTAGGTGAGCTTGGGTCGGGAATATACCCCCATCCCAGCCCCAGAATGCCCTTTTAGGGATGGGATGGGATGGGGGTATATTCCCGCTCAAAGTGCTGCTTTGATTCTGGGGTAAAGTAAATCAAAGCAGCACTGGGGGCGAAGACCCCTTGGTGCACGCTCTCTTCTTATTGGCTAAGCCCTTTTTGCTGCCTCTCCTCCTCTCCCCCACTCCCTCCAGACGACATGGCAGCAGTGCTCGAATCATACCCCGAGTACCGCAGGCAAGCGGGCAATGTGGCCAAGCACGTACTGCTAGTGGTGGTGGCGCTGCTGCTGCTGCTGCTGCTGCTGCTGCTGCTGCGGTCTGTTGACCCCTTCTGCTGTCCCTCTCCCCATCCCCTCCCTCCCTCCACCAGACAACATGGCAGCAGTGCTCGAATCATACCCCGAGTACCGCAGGCAGGCGGGCAATGTGGCGAAGCACGTTGCGATAATGACCGAGCTGCAGTGCGTGGTGGGGGGCAGGAAGCTCATGGCCGTGTCTGAAGTGGAACAAGAATTGGCATGCACATCAGGGCAGACCGCTGCTTTTGAGGTATGGCTGAGGGAGAGGCGTGAGTATGGTACGTGCCCCCACTCCCAAGATTGCTGAAGGGGGGAAAGCTCATGGCGGTGTGTGAGGTGGAGCAGGAGCTAGCATGCACGTCAGGGCAGACCGCTGCCTTTGAGGTGCATAGGGAGAGACGCGAGTGTTATCCCCACTGCGCAAGCAATGAGTGCAGTAAATACACAGCGCCTGAAAGTATTATGCATCATGAGCGTGCACATCTTAGAGGAGCGTGCAACTCCTCTAAGATGTGCATTCTTAGGTGCAGTGAGGTGAGGCATGCAGGTTTTGTTGTGAGAATCTACCATTTTGAGACAGACGGCAACACGTGGCAATATTGACAGAGATGCAGTGAGTGGTGGTAATAGCACCCGGCTCATCTCTACCGCCCATCATGTTGAAGAAAAGCTGGCATCTTAATCACTCCCCTCTCCCCCCTCCCCCCTCCCCTCTCCCATCTCCCCTCTCCCCGCTCCCCCCTCCCCTCTCCCCTCTCCCCTCTCCCCCCTCCCCCTTCCCCCCTCCCCTCTCCCCTCTCCCCTCTCCCCTCCACCCTCCCTCCCTCCTACCCACCACCCACCACCAGGCAGTAACATCAAAGATGGCGTCTCAAGACATAGCAGACGTTGATAAGCTGCGGCTAGTGATGCTGTATGCCCTGCGGTATGAGGAGGACAGCCCCCGGTACCTGCAGGGACTCATTTCATCCCACCCCTACTCTCCTTCACGCTCTCCTCCCCACCATCCACCACCCACCACCCACAATCCACCACCCACCACCAGGCAGTAGCAGCAAAGCTGGCGTCTCAAGATATTGCCGATGTGGACAAGCTGCGCCTGGTGATGCTGAATGCCCTGCGGTACGAGGAGGACAGCCCACGGCGCCTGCAGGGACTCATTTCATCCCACCCCTACTCTCCTTCACGCTCTCCTCCCCACCATCCACCACCCACCACCCACAATCCACCACCCACCACCAGGCAGTAGCAGCAAAGCTGGCGTCTCAAGATATTGCCGATGTGGACAAGCTGCGCCTGGTGATGCTGAATGCCCTGCGGTACGAGGAGGACAGCCCACGGCGCCTGCAGGGACTCATTTCATCCCACCCCTCCTCTCCTTCACGCTCTCCTCCCCGCCTCCCCACCATCCACCACCCACCACCCACAATCCACCACCCACCACCCACCACCAGGCAGTAGCAGCAAAGCTGGCGTCTCAAGATATTGCCGATGTGGACAAGCTGCGCCTGGTGATGCTGTATGCCCTGCGATACGAAGGGGACAGCCCCCGGCACCTCCTCTCTTCCATCCCTTCCTCTCCCTTGCCTCACCACCACCCACCACCAGGCAGTAGCAGCGAAGCTGGCATCTCAAGACATAACAGACGTGGATAAGCTAAGGCTGGTGATGCTGTATGCCCTGCGGTACGAAGAGGACAACCCGCGGCACCTCCAGGAACACATTTCATCCCACCCCTCCTCTCCTTCACGCTCTCCTCCCCGCCTCCCCACCACCCACCACCCACCATCCACCACCCACCACCAGGCAGTAGCAGCAAAGCTGGCGTCTCAAGATATTGCCGATGTCGATAAGCTTCGGCTGGTGATGCTGTATGCCCTGCGATACGAGGAGAATAGCCCGAAGTCAACTCTCTTTTCCCCCACCCATTACCCACCACCCACCACCAGGCAGTAGCAGCAAAGCTGGCGTCTCAAGATATTGCCGATGTCGATAAGCTTAGGCTGGTGATGCTGTATGCCCTGCGGTATGAGGAGGGCAGCCCACGGCACCTGCAAGCGCTGATCAACAAGTTGAGCGATGTGTGCCGCAACCCCAAGTACAAGGCTGGGGTGAGTGGAGTGGGGGAGTGGGATGAGGAACGGTGTGTGGTATGGTGAGGACGGGTGAGGAGGGGTGCATGGGAGGAGGGTAAGGAGCAGCACAGCCCGCGGCACCTGCAGGCTCTGATTAACAAGTTCAGTGACGTGTGCCGCAACCCCAAGTACAAGGCCGGGGTGAGTGGGTGTTGAGAGGGGTGAGGAGGGGTTGAGTGGGAGGGTGAGGAGGGGTTGAGTGGGAGGGTGAGGAGGGGTTGAGTGGGAGGGTGAGGAGGGGTTGAGTAGGAGGGTAAGGAGCAGCACAGCCCGTGGCACCTGCAGGCTCTGATGACCAAGTGTTCAGTGATGTGTGCCGCAATCCCAAGTACAAGGCTGGGGTGAGTTGGAGGGGAGAGAGGGGTGAGGAGGGGTGAGGAGGGGTGAGGAGGGGTGGGAGGCTGGTGATGCTGTATGCACTGCGACATGAGGAGGATAAGGAATGGCAGATCTGTATGGCCGTAGGAAGGAATTCCTTGCCTCTCCTCCGTCAACCCACCCATTGCTGCAATCCTTTCTCTGCTTCATACCCCCCATCGCTTCACGTGCCTGGCAGCTGGTATACACGCAGCTGTGTTAGTTCGGATCAAAGAGGAGAGTGGCTGATTTGTACGGCAGCAGGGGTCCAAGCCGACAGTATACATCATCGACTCTTCCTCCGTTTGATTCTACTCACAAGTCCTTTCGACTCTTCCTCCGTTTGATTCTACTCACAAGTCCTTTCTTTTCTTGAACCCCCCCGTTGCTTCATGTACATGGCAGCTGGTCTACACGTTGCTGCGCCAGTTAGGATCAAAGAGGAGAGTGGCCGATTTGTACGGCAGCAGAGGTGCAACACATCCCCTCGCCTCTCCCTCCCTCACAAGTCTTTTCTTCCCGTCACCCCACCCATTGCCAGCTGGTCTACACTTTGCTGCGCCAGTTCGGATCAAAGAGGAGAGTCGCGGATCGGAATGGCAGCAGGGGTGCTCCACAACCCGTCGCCTCTCCTTCAATAAACCCACCCATTGCCTTGCACCCTCCCTCTGCCTCGTACCCTCCCACTGCTTCACGTGCCTCGCAGCTGGTATACACTCTTCCGCGCCAGTTCGGATCAAAGAGGAGCGTCGCGGATCTGTACGACAGCATGGATACACCACACTCCCTTCGACCCACCCATTGCTGCAATCCCTCCCTCTGTCTCGTACCCTCCCATTGCTTCATGTGCGCGCCGGCTTGTATACACTCTTCTGCGCCAATTCGGATCAAAGAGGAGAGTGGCTGATCTGTATGGCAGCAGGGACTTGCTCAATATGGTAGCCAGGAATGTGAAGCGAGGCCTCACGGTAAGCATGTGTGAGGAGCAGCTTATAGAGGGGATGTAATACTGGGAGTCTGGGAGGAGAGTGGATAGTGGCTGATCTGTATGGCAGCAGGGATTGCTCAATATGGTCGCTCGGAATGTGAAACGAGGGCTCACGGTAAGTGTGTGGGGGAGCTGCTTATAAAGAGGATATAACTTGGGGTGTTTTGGGAAAGAGTGGAGAAGATTGGTTGACCTGTATGGCAGCAGGGATTGTCTCAATATGGTGGCTTGAAATTTGAAGCGGGAATAGAAGATGCTTATAGGATGGAGCTTGCTTCTAGCAAGCTTACGCAGATAGCCTGAATCGCTCATAGCGCAGATCATTGATGCTGCCCTGTCCGTTCGCCCTTTTCCTCTGTCTCTTGTTGTTCCACGCCTTCACTTGTTGCCTAGGGCGTGGAGAATGTATACACGCAGCACCAGGCGCCCATAGCCCGCTTCATAAGCACGGCCCTATGCCTTCCCTTGTCCCTTGTTGCCTTCCTCTCTCACCCCACTCCTCTCATCCAAGGGCGTGGAGAATGTATACACACAGCACCAGACACTCATAGCGCAGATCATCGACGCTGCCACCAAGGGGCGACTGAGTGAGGCGCCCTTTCCCCCTACCTCTCCCTTCCACCTGTTCCCCCCTCTTCCCCCCCTCTCCTCCCCCAGGGCGTGGAGAATGTGTACACGCAGCACCAGCCGCTCATAGCGCAGATCATCGATGCTGCCACTAAGGGGCGGCTTTAAGAATGTGTACACTCAGGTTCTTGTTGCTCCCCCTCCTATCTGGCTCACCGTCCACTGGATAGTCACTCGTCTCCCTAACCGCCTCTCCACTTCCCGTGACGCGCTTCTCCAGCAGCACCCCAGTGACCTTACGATTGATCTTCTCGAGACCACTCTTGGGAAGATCGAGAGTAACCTCCTCTCTGTTGCCTCGGCCACTAACGCAGTCGCCCCCTATCTGTTTGAGGGGTGTGCTGCCCCCCAGCTTCCCTCCTTCACTGCTACTCGTGCCTCTGCTGCTGTGTTGGTCTCTGAGGACACTGCAGCTGTTTCTGCCGCTGACAGGTAGAAACGGGGCAAGGCCGGCAAGAAAGGGGGGAAGGGGGGTGGCGGCGGTGGAGGAGGTGGCGGTGGTGGAGGCGGCGCTGGGGGCGGCAGTGGTGGCGGCGGAGGTGGTGCACCAGGCGGAGGGAGCCCTGGAGGAGGTGCTGACCCACCTGCTGGAGGAGGTTCGACCAACGGTGGCGCGGGGCCCCAGCAGCAGCAGCCACAGCAGCAGCAGCCACAGAAGAGACAGCTGCAGCAGCAGGGACAGCAGCAGTGGCAGGCACCACAGCAGTTTCAGTCGTGGGGACCCCCACTGCAGTGGGGTCCGCAGCAGCACTGGGGCCCTCCGCCACAGTGGGGACCTGGAGGACCCGGGAGCACTGGCCGCAGCAGCAGCACTACCAGCTGGGCCCCTCGCCCCCCGCGGCGCGACACCGGCCCCTGCGACCACTGGTGCATCACCGGACCGGGCAGTCCCTGTGTCTGCGGCCGCGACGACCACTCTGCGGAGCGGTGCTTCCGCCGCCTCGACGACCTCTACCGTGCGTGCTGGGGTCCTGAGGCAACCACCCGACGCTGGGCTCGCCTGCTAGCCCGTAAGATTCCTGTATTTGAACTGTCTATGGACGATGCTCGTCAGTATGCTTTGTATGCTGATGTTGACTATAGTGCTGATGGATCTGTGTGCTCGCGTGTTCGTAGTCTAGGATGCTTGCCTCCTGTTAGTGTAGACCTGTGCCTCTCTAGTCTAGGTGCTTGTGTTTCTGCTCGAGGTGCTTGTGTAGCCTCCGGACCTGACACGCCTCCGGCTGAGGCGTCTCTGTCGTTCACGCTGGACTCTGGCGCGTCGCAGTGTTTCTTCCGCGACCACACGACCCTCACACCACTCCTTGCTCCGGTTCTGGGAGCTCTGGCTGATCCTTCTTCGGCAGCTCCACCACCCTCCTGTGCCCTGTGGTCCCCTCTGGCGTCCTGCGCGGCCTCCACATCCCCTCGTTCAATCGGAACTTGGTGGGTGTTGGATACCTCCAGGACAGGGGGATCACCGTTACCTTTGTGGGGGGTGGGAGGACTGGGGTCTGTACAGACGCCGCCACAGGTGCTGTTCTGGCCACCTTCACCAGGGAGTCCCGCTCTGGTCTCTACGTTCTCCACACCGAGCGCTCCCCGGTTGCTTCTTCCGCTCACGTCGCTGTGTCCCCTCAGGTCCCAGTGTCTAGTCCGGTTGTTGTGTCTGATCAGGTAGAGGTGCCTGGTCAGGTTGCTGCGTCGTGCTTCTGTCGGTCCCTCGCCCACCCGACCGTCTTGTGGCACCACCGCCTTGGCCACCTGTCGCTCCCCCGCCTCCGCAGCTTGGCCAGTCACAGTCTTGTCTCAGGTCTCCCGCGAGTCTTTCCGTCGCTTCCTCCCTCGCTTGCCCCACCCTGCACTCCTTGCGTCGCCGGCCGCCTGCGTGCCACTCCGCACTCCTCCTCCCTTCGTCCGGCCACTGCTCCCTTCCAGACTCTCCACCTGGACGTCTGGGGCCCTGCCCCTACGCTGGGACCTGAGAGGGAGCGCTACTTTCTAGTGGTCGTTGACGACTACTCCAGGTACACCACGGTGTTTCCTCTCGCGAAGAAGTCCGAGGTGACTTCTACGCTGATCCGGTGGCTTCTGGCCACTGAGGACACTCGTGGTAGTCGTGTCTGTTGTCTCCACTCCGACCGTGGGGGTGAGTTTCGCTCCGGCGTCCTTGCTGGGTTCTGCGGCGAGCAGGGCATCAGACAGTCCTGGACGCTGCCGGAGTCCCCACAGCAGAATGGAGTTGCTGAGCGCCGCATTGGCCTGGTCATGGACATCGCCTGCACGTCCATGCTCCATGCCCGTGCGCCGCATTTTCTGTGGCCCTACGCGCTGCGGTACGCCGCGTAAGCTGAACCTCCAGCCGCGTGTCTCGCGGCCGGAGGTTTCACCGACCAGTCTTTGGACTAGGTCCCCTGGTGTTGGGTCGGCCTTTCACGTCTGGGGCTGCCTTGCGCTTGTCCGCGACACCTCTGCGGACAAGCTCTTGGCTCGCGCCATCCCCTGTGTCTTCCTTGGGTTCCCGGTGGGCTCTCCCGATTATTCCATATACCACCCGCCCCTCCACCAGTTTCTAGACTCTCGTGACGTCCGGTTTGACGAGTCAGTGTCCTACTACACCCGGTACCCCTGTCGAGGTCTCTCGGTTCCCCCTCCCCCCCTCTTCCTCGCACCCTCTCTTCCCCCTGCTCCCGCTCCTCCGGTACCCCCACCCCCCCCTGGTCCTGCGCCGTCAGGTGTGTCTCACACTACCCCTCTACCCTCGGTCGTGCGTCAGGTAGCGTCTCCCTCCCCGCAACCCTCCTCACAGTCCCCTCAGCAGCCTTCGGCACTTCCGCGACAGGTTACTGTGGACTCGGTTGGTGTTGGAGCTGGAGGTGCAACCGCTGGCGGTACTCGGTCTGGGGGTCCTGGAGCTGGAGGTTCTGGCACTGGAGGTGCTAGTTCTGGGGGTGCTAGTGCTGGAGGTACTGGCACTGGAGGTGCTAGTTCTGGGGGTGCTGGAGCAGGAGGTGCTGACGCTGTAGGGGCTAGTACTGAGGAGACAGGAGCTGGAGGCACGACTACTGCGCCTCCCCACCGCCACGACACACGTCTCCAGGCCCTTCGCTGACTTGAGCGCGAGGAGCAGGAGCGGTTGGAGCAGGAGAGGCGGGAGCTGCAGCGGTTGGACCACCAGCAGCAGCAGCGTTCGCCGCAGCCACCACCTTTGCAGAAGCTGTTCCCACCAGTGAGTGGCCTTCGGGCCCTTGGTCTTCCCTCTGCTCCTCCTATCCCATCTCCGTCTCCCACCGCGTACGGCCCTACGTTTCCTCCTCCGGACTCGGCTCCGGCTATTTTCTCTCCTCCTCAGTCACAGTCGTCTCCTCCTGTTGTCCCGCACGACTGGACCAGTCGTTGTCCTCCGCGTGATCGGCCCTCGTCTCCTCTTGCCGACCTCCGCACCGTCTTGTTTTGTTCTCCTCCTCGTCGTTCTCCGCCTGTGTCTGTTCTACCCTCACATCCTGAGTCGTCTCTCACCGTTTCCTCTCACCTTATCACTGACTACTACCGTGCTGCTCGCCCTGTTGTCTCTCGTGTTCTCGCCTCTCTTGTGACCGACCCTCGTGCCTCTCCGTCGTTTGTCTCGGCTCTTACTGCCGCTGTCGCTGACTTTGCTTCCACCGGCCGTCTTGACTACGCCACGCGTGTGGTGGCTGCTCCACCTCCCCGTCCTCTGTCCGTCGGGGGTGAGTCTGCCCTTGGCTGTGACGTCCTAGAGGACAGGCCGTTTGAGCTGGAGTTCTTAGCAGCCGCTTCCCCCTCTCTCTGCGCCATGCTGCTTTCCCTTGAGGGAGACCCCGACGCCCTTGACATACCGACACCTCGCACGTACCGTGAGGCAGCGTCAGGGGAGTGGGCCTCTCAGTGGAAAGCGGCTATGGATGCAGAGTTAGCGTCTTGGAGATCCACTGGCACGTACGTCGACGCAGTTCCCCCTCCCAGGGCGAACATTGTCGATGGCATGTGGCTCTTCAAGGTGAAGCGGCCGCCTGGTTCACCGCCTGTGTTCAAGGCGCGCTACGTGGCTAGGGGTTTCAGTCAGCGTGAGGGAGTTGACTTCTTCCAGACCTTCGCCCTGACCCTGAAGATGACTACTCTTCGGGTGTTACTGCACGTAGCAGCACAGCAAGACTACGAGTTGCACTCCCTCGACTTCTCCACTGCGTTTCTCCAGGGCCGTCTACACGAGGAGATCTGGCTGCGCCGTCCTCCTGGCTTCACTGACACCTTCCCACCTGGGACCCAGTGGAGCCTGAGGCGACCAGTCTACGGTCTCCGCCAGTCGCCCCATGAGTGGTATGACACTCTTCGCTCTACGCTTTGTGACCTTGGGTTTCGTCCTTCCTCTGCTGACCCGTAGCTGTTTGTTCGCACTGGTTCCACTCCTTTCTTTATAGTAGTGTACGTCGACGACTTGGTCTTTGCTACAGCAGACAGGGCAGCTCTGACTGAGGTGAAATCCGAACTGCAGAAGAGACACAAGTGCACTGACCTCGGTGAACTACAGCGCTACCTTGGCCTGCAGATCACCAGGGACAGAGCCGCTCGCACCATCACACTGACCCAGTCGCACATGGTGCAGCAGGTCCTTCGGCGGTTCAGGTTTCAGTTCTCCACCACACAGCCCACTCCTCTTGCCGTTGACCACCGACTCACTGGCCCTTTTCCCGACGAGCCCTTTGAGTCTAGTGGTCCCTACGCAGAGCTTGTGGGCTGCCTCATGTACCTGATGACTTGTACTCGGCCGGACCTCGCCTTTCCCCTCAGCGTCCTCTCTCGCTTTGTTGCGACTGGGAGACACCGTCCTGTTTACTGGACAGCTGCTGTGAGGGTGGCGAAGTACCTGGCGACTACATCAGGCATGGGGCTTGTGCTTGGAGGGACCCAGCCAGCTGTGTTGACCGGTCACTGCGACTCTTCCTACGCTGACGACGTGGAGACTCGGCGCTTGACTCAGGGTTACTGCTTCAGTATGGGTGCTGGTGCTGTGTCGTGGAGGTCTACACGGTCGTCGTCTGTGGCTTCGTCCAGTGTAGAGGCAGAGATCTACGCTGGTGCCATGGCGGCACAAGAGCTTTGCTGGTTGA